ATCTTTATCCAACTATCTAAGACTGTGGGTAAACTGTCGGTTTGGGGTTTTATTCACCTCACAGTCAGATCAGATCAGCAGCTGCATAAACAAGATAAAGCAGGTAAAGTCCTGCTCAGCAGGACCACAAGCAGCTGATAATACACAACAAGCTTCTGTTAACACAGCCACACACAGTGATAAAGGTCTCCGTGTAAAAGACCCCCAAAGCATCCTTCTTGGAGTTTTAGCATTTCTTTTTTGGGTTAGGACTCGAGATTATTTTTCCTTTATCAGTTATCAGATATGAGATTAGCTGACTGCACAGTCCTAAAATCTGTCAGTTTTAAAATACAACTGGACTTCTAGTTGTTCTGTGCTGACATCATCAGAAGAAGGCAATTTGGGGAAATTAACGGCAACCCGAGCTGCGTGTGTGATCAGCCTCGTCTCAAGGCAAACTGTGAAATAGTCTTCTTCAATGATGCACATTGTTGCTGTTTTGTGACAGATAATGCACTATAGGAGGTACAGTTTGTGTCTGCAGCACATACGTTGTTAGCGCCTTTAGAAAAGACATGAAAATGTGACAACCAAGAACAGCAACGCAAGAAAAAATACCTCGAAAACAAAAATATGGCTGGAATGTTTCAAGTTGCCAAAATGGGTACGGAGCAGGATGTATCTATACTATATATGTAGCTCGTATACTATACAAGACAAACATTTAGACGCTGAATCGCCATCAGCTGGTGAAAAATAACTCTAAGGTAAAGTAATGTTGAGACGACATCAAAACGTGACCTCAGAGTCGACTCGAGGCGGTTACTGAGCGCTGTCTGGAAGTCCGTGTTTGACGTTCCGACAGGCGATGATCTGATCAGGCCTCTGATCTACGTGGAAAACATCTGTCCAGTTTTTCTTTGGTCACGCCCAGTTTTTTGAGGAAGATGATGTCAGGCTTTCAACCAGTGTTTTCGAGCTCTAACTGAACACAGATGTGGCACCAACAGGGCAGGAAACGAAACAAAAATAGGAATTATAATTAACCGAAGCGTGAGTGGAAAAAGAAATAAAAAACTGAAACAGGAAATGACTTCACAAATCCGGGCTTTTGGCTCATACAGGCTAAACCAAACCGGACAGATCTTATTCACTAAAGCTAACCGAGTTCTGTCGACCTAAATGTAAAAGAAAAGGCGAGACCTTTAGTTGGCTCATGTAGAAGATGCACAATGAACGCAGTCTAGTTCAGTAACTCGGCTGAAGCACAGAGGAATACAACAATAAATGGTAAATGGTAAATGGTCTGTATTTGTATAGCGCTTTACACATCCAGTCATCCACCCATCCACACACACATTCACAGGGCTGAACAAACAAACACAAAGTACGAGAAAAAGGAAACAAGACCTCGACATCAAAAGAGACAAACCGTGAAAAAAATTAGAACAAAAGATTATCAGATAGAGGATTAACAAGAAGTCGCAGACAAACCACAAGCAAGACAGAGGAGCACAGCCTGACACTGACACTACAATAAAGGAATCCAAACAGGAAGCAAAACTCAGGACTTCGATTCAGTTTTATTTATATAGTGCCAAATCACAACAACAGTCTTCTTAGAGCAATTTATACTGTAAAACTCCCTTTTAACAGAAAGAAGCCTCCAGCAGAACCAGGCTCAGGGAGGGGCGGCCATCCACCCCGAGCAGTTGGGGTGACGGGTGTATAAACACACAGTGAGTGAAAAAGGTGAGCGAAGAAGAAACACCAGGGCATCATGGGAATCCCCCAGCAGACTACACTTAATGCTTTAGCAAAAAGGAAAGTTTGAAGCCTAATCTTAAAAGTAGAGATAGTGTCTGTCTCCTGAATCCAAACTGGAAGCTGGTTCCACAGAAGAGGAACCAAAAGTTCAAGAAATAAAACACCACCTCACAAGGATAAGGAAACCTAATATGAATAATAATGAATTCCAAAGAGGAATTCAAAACTCAAAACAAAATCCTGCCTTTATCACCTGAACCTAACCAGTTGTAACCAAGGTATGGATTGTTTTTTCATACACGATTTGCAAAACTGAAAATCCAAATGACAAAAGTGGAAAAACGGAATTCTTCAGTGAAGTCCAGAGGAAACTGTTCAAAGGACTGAAGGCAAGTCCGAGTGAACCTGCCCTCACGCGCCTGCACATCTGACATTTAGAAAGCTTCCATGATATCACAGAGATGAGAAGTGAAAGACAAAGCCAGCTGTAATTATCCCATGATAAGGGGAAGCCCCAAAGGTCACATGCGAAAAACCACTAAGTCACAAGCAAATTCCACAGGCCTGGTATTAAAAAAAGGAAGTGAAACACATTAATTCAGCAGGGGGGTGGACTTATATGCCCATGAAGAGAACGTGCGACAAAGAAGTGAGACTTAGTTAATCATAAGGGGTTCCTCATAATAACGACCAAAGACTTTATCAGGTTAATGATCAAACGTTAACCTTTAAAAACTACAGTC